AGAGCGAGCTACATTTTTGACATTAAAATTCTCCGTCTGAAAACGCTTGAACCAACATTTTTTTTCGCAGTTGCATCCCATTTTTCCCTTTTTTGTTGTCTTCTCACTTGTTAGAGTCACTCATTGTTTTGTTTTCTTTATAAAGATGTCATGTATTCAATGGTTCTAAAACCAGTAAGCTTTACTACCACTACCACTTACCACATACAAAGTATGAAAATACCTCCAACCTATTACATATATCCGTTCGGAAAACATTACTCTCCTTCGGCAGTCAGGTAATAACCAGAATGTGCGGTGAGGAACTTGTATAGGGTAAACGGACGAGACAACTCTAAGGCTATACGTTTTAATACACCGTTATAGTTATCATCAGAAGCTTAAAATTTTAAAAATCATTTAAGGAATCCAAAGGTCTCCTAATCCTCATACGTTCTGTCTACCCACTGAACATGTAGCTATTCAGCTATATATCACGTCCCCGTCATATAGACATTAAGTCCTTCCCAAGGAGCGGAAGCGGTCGATTGACGTCGCGGTCACTTCCTTCGAATGCTGACCGCCGAGCAACGCTATGTTCACGGCTCGAAGTCAAATGGAACTAGCAACCGACAGACTAGTGAAACGAGTATTAAGACTATAGTAAGATAAATAAATAAATATATAGTTCAGGACATATTTTTACACAACTTTATCGAGTCCCTAACTTAACTAGTTGCCCCGTGTGAAATTTTTGCACAGTACCGTGATCAATCACCGACTTGTATTATAATGTTGTGTAAATATGTAACTATCAATTAAAGGTATCTTATTTAAAAAATAACAACAAAATTCGATTCTCCGCTTCCTTATCGTTATCGCTAACTTACATTTAAACAAATTGTCACTAGATGGCACTATTGTACGTTCTTTGTAAGAATTTTTAACCGAAATTTTTTAATGAAAACGTCAACCCTATTTATTTGTTTACTTAATGGCATACCGACATATTTGAAAATATAAAATATATTATACAGATTACATTAAATTAAAAGGGCAGCTTACATACCAGCTCCTATTGCCCGAAAAGATGAACATGACAGAGGAAGAATCAGGACCCGACAGAAAATTTGTGTATCTAAAATGTTTATGGTGAAAGGTCTATGTTTTCACTTCTGTCGGCAGTCCTTAAGAGCTTTTTTTTTTCTTGATTTTACGCGTACATTACGGGAATTAAAAATCAAAATTAAAACGCGATAAAATCCGTAAAATTGGTAGTTTCATTCAATACAATTCAATTTTTGTTTCCGTTTTAACTGTGCGTAATCCCAGGCAATCTTTCAACGAGTCTGTAATATAATATAAAGGCCCATTTACACGGTGCCAGTTTCTTGTCTGTTGTATACAATTAAATTGAAGCAATAAATAAGTTGCATGGTCTAAACAACAAATGGTCTAACCAATTATTGCGCGCAATTTATTGCATTCAATTATTGCTCTTGCATGTACAAGAAAATGGCATCGTGTAAATGGGCCTTAACGCTACTTTCCGAGAGTAATGCGACGATGGACTCTGTTAACCGTCACGCGATATGTACGATTCACATCAAGCGGATCGCGAACAGACAAATCAATTATTTCAGTTAAAAGCTTTCGTTTTAACTGAAATAATTGATTTGTCTGTTCCGTATCTAATTTCATACTGCTTGATTTTGAAATAATATAGGCTCAAATTGCATCACTATGTATTTTCCTGACGCTCATAGAGGGCTAATGGGTCCCCTGTGATACCTTTATTACCCAAAAAAGGGGGTGGTTATCTAACTTGATTTTTCCTATTCCATATTAGAACCGCAGAGTGCTGGAATGCATTTTCGTTCCGATTCGTGTACGCGTCCCGTTCGGTGTGAATCGTGCGTTAAGCCAACTTATAAAACGCAAATTGTTACCTTAATGCATAATTTCCTCTTAGTTTGTGACGCATTTGCGTAATTTAATGGTATACAGTAAATAATGGTATGTCTTAACGAGGGTCTTAAGGCGGGGTGCCGAACTGGTGCTCTGCCATATATAAGAAATTATGATATGTTACCATGTTTTATCAACTCTTAATTATTATTTACGATGTTTAATGCAAATTAAATTATACTGTTAGGTATATTACTCGCATTGTAGCGTCACAGAAGAAAAACAGTAAAGAAAACTAAACAAACAAGAAACAAACAGAAATTAAGTGAAATACATTTAATTGATATTATTTTTATAGTGCTATTCTCTGCACTTAAAACGAAACTTAAAATATCATTTAAATGTTACATCTTTTTTTTAAATTTTAGCAAATTTCAAAATAAGATGTCAATCTTATTTTGAAATGAAAAAGTAGTTAAATACGTTGCGATTTTCGTCACTGGGAGTGTATGCCGCTTACGTCAGTGACTAGACCATCGCGTACCTCGGAGGACCCAAGTCAAAACCTAAGAAAGCACCGAAAAAGTTTTCGTCCATTTTTCTACAAATTTAAGTGTAATATATTTCAGACTTAAACCCAATATGATACGAAAAGTTTCGGGCACAAAAGGCTATCGTATACATTACATTCAACCGAATATACGAATGGCTGTTACTATTACTTAAAAGCTGATGTGGTGCAAGCAGCAGTCGTATAGAAACCTTCTTTTAATTTGGAATACGCAAATGCAAAATTCGAATCATGCTCGCTAATAAATAAGGGCACGGAACAGGCGAGGTGACGGATTATTCCAAGTGCACTCGAGTGAGGGGGCGAATGGTCGTTGTCATGCAAGAGCTTTGGCACTAATAATTTTTTTAGCCTTTCCAAGTAGGCTTGTTCTGCTGTTGTATAAAAGAGTAGAATGGCGACAAGTAGAAGTGTTTATTTATACATTTCGTATAGCAATTGTGGTAACCTAGGCTTACCTTAACGGTTGTTAAACGACCGCAACCCCACGGCTGTGTCTTGTATGTCTACGACTACAACCTGTAATTCCTTACAGAGAAGCGACTTCTTCATGGACATCAACAAGAACGTTAATTTACGTCATGGGACGTTTTTCCTTCCGGGAGATAAAAGTTTATAGTCAAAAATGAAGGGACACAGACAGATTTATGAGCTTTACATCTTGACGACAAATATACATATGGTCAACGGCAAGTTTTTATGCAATATTTTTAAATTGAGTTCATGGCTGAGTACTTTAAGAAACTATTCGAATCCAGTCATGGTTTGAAATCATGATTTCAACCCATGATTTCAGATCGTGTGTTGAAATAACAGCTACAGCGACATCTAATGGAGGCACTATTAGATGTCCCAGTAACTAGACTGTCGGCTATTTGGCATCACAGACAACAATGTGTACACTTGATACTTTCGCATTCCAGCTCGTTACTCCCTGCGCCCGGAAACCGATTATACACATATATTGCGCTAATCGTCGTTACTGAAGTTCGAATATATCAGCTTCGATAGTGCGTGACTGCCGACACTTGAAATTAAAACACACATGTAGACATGCACTTGCTCCATTTTGCACGTTGCATTTGCGAAATTTCAGTTATTTAGAGCTCTACATAGCTATAGTTTTAGATATAAAACAAAGACGACCGCATCATTTCATCCATGTTAAATGCAAATATCAATTTGGAGCAAGAATTGTTTGCTGTGGCATATCGCCGTCCTATTACCTCGGCGGCAAGGCAAGCGTGCGCGAGCGCAGTCTGTGCGCGCCGCACTCCCGCGTCGCTCCTTCCTCTCCTCTGGTCTGCCGCTCCAGCCGCAACGGACCACAGGTGAGCTAACAACAGAGCTCCAAGTCCGCGAAACAGTAAGATATGAATATATATATAACAGGATCAAGAAGCTTAACCTTTTTCGCGAAACTGCTTACTTTTTTTTCCATCATCTCTGCATAATCTTTTTTTACTGTGGGTTACCACGCAGCAGCCTCAGCTGTGACATGAATGGGCAGGCTCATCCGGGTAAGTAATACGACCTCACAGAAGACCGGCGTAAAGTGGAAGTATTACAAATACTTTCGCGTTTCATCTGCTGAGTGAGGTAGCCGGAGCCCAATTTTCAGAAGGTTGTCAACGCACTTGCCACACCCGAGGGTAACCCTCGGGTGTAGCAGAAGGGATTATAATGTGAATAGATCTGCTCTTTGAACAATTATAAGATTTCATGGTTAAATCGAAATTTCTCCACTTTACACTTGACACTGGAGATGTATCATGTAAAAATGCATCAAGGCTTGGTTAAACATTATCACCGATCTCATTTTATATTTTAAAAAGAACCGCATAAAAAAGGAATGAATACCGAGATCGCAGAGTTTTGTGATGGTTCATGAGAAGGTGTCCATACAAGAAAAAGTATTAAGAAACATGTGCTTTTGAATCTGTGGTATCAACGCCTTTGATATACAATAGTGTTTCAAACAAGTCTCAATTGAACAAAATGTTCAGATTGTATCATTGAGCCAATCATAATATGCTAAGTTTTCTCTCTTTTTAACTCAAGGTGGGATTGATGTTAGAACTTGGATGAAACTATGAAGCTAAAGCTTATTAACACTAGATTCACAGCGAAAACAACTTCATCGGGATTTTTCAAATGAATAGGAGTAAGCTGTATGATGAAAAATAAAATCCTTTATAATGCAGCAACAAATAGAAGCTCTCACAGCTTAAATCCTAAAAAAAGACAAATGGTGAACCTGTCGCCAAACACCGGGCGATAACAGAATGTAAAGCATCCAAAAACCCCAAAAAGGCCACCTCCAACCTCATCCACGTCGTCCTATCCACCTCATTTTTATAACAAGGACCGATCATTGGTAGATTTTTATTGCACCATGCGATAAGTGCGCAAGTATCTGTAAATACTAAAGCCACTTGATCATTAAAGTATGTCAGCACAGCGAATTAACGACATATCCCTTGCAGGACCCAAAAGAGAAGGGTAGGGCTACAGTTGCAGCTTTAAGCAGGTGACGGTGAACATGACGGTGAAGAAACGGCCTTCGGACTTGACAAGTTTGGAGCGATTTAACTTGTACTACCGCGAGAAGGAGCCGCCCCTGACCGCGGGGCAGAAGGCGAAGCGGTTCATCTGGAACCCGAAAACGAAGCAGTTCTGCGGCAGAACGGCATCCAGCTGGTGTGAGTATACACGGTGATGTACTAAACCTATTGGATGTTATATATATATTGCGTTTTTCGATTTAAGAATTTAATTTTATCACGAATCCATAATATTGTAATCCCATTTCTGTATTAAATCTACCACGATTTCTCCTCACGACCCGGGTTGACTGGTAGAGAATGCCAATATGTTTAAGTCCGCCCTTTGTAACCCCCTTTTTTAAGATGTTTCAATAGAGAATAAATAAATAAATAAATAAACACACAGACCATGAATAACTGTATATTCGAACGTTATGAATGTTATGAATGAATACATATTCAGATTTTATACCAAGCGAATCACAATTTAGTGGATTGAAGTAAAACTCAATACATTACCACAAAAGAATTAAAATTATTTTGTTAAAAATAGTCACATGAATGTTTACGTGCTAACATGCTAGCTTTATTGTTATATATTTCGTTCATAGGTTTTACAGTATGTTAATTATTTTGTTACCCAAGGATAAATGATGATAATAACGTAAAGACTTAAGAATGTATTAATTAGTATTTATAACCGGAAAAATTAAAAATACCTATTTTCCTTTGACGGGTCCCTCTAATTATACAATCGAAACTTCAGATTTTCTTCGAATCAAATGTTGAAATAAAATCGATCCTAAATTGCTTTAATCGATAGTAATTTATTCGTATTCGTGTCATTCGCGATTACCTTAATTTATAATTGAAATTGTACTATTTATTGATTGAAATTTTAAAGGTCCGGCATTAAAGCCTCATTTAGTAAATGTGGAACAGCTATCTGTACATTACGAACTTTGCGAACTTTACTCCGATTTCTGTGTCATCCACATCGAAACAAAAGCTCCGATATCTATGCGGTTCTTCGAATCTGTTAAAGCAGTAATTTTTTTTCATATTTTTGTCTACAAACGCAACTCCATAATTGCTCGTTATCCTAAAAAAAAAACACTGACAGTTTATTTTATGATCTTTAAGATCACTTATTTGTGCAAAACTTCATATTCATGTAGTAGTATAAACACTTGATAAATTCCTCGAGAGATAATTGGATCAACTTCTTCCGTTGCTAATACTGCACTGTTGAATAACTTTTCTAAGTCCCGTGACAATTTATCACCATCGTCTGTGAGCTGCAGAGCTGCCACTTTGTATCAAATGTAGATTACATTTGATACAAAGTGTAGGTAGATGCACGTCCTAAAAAAACAGCTCTGTGTTCAATGTTCCCAAGTTCTTTGTAGCATCTAATCAGCGAAGAAAAAGCAAACAATCAACTAACGTCGGTAATGTTCATTATCCTGGAATAATTTTAATTACTTAATCATAAACACGCTAGTGCAATAATAGTGCACAGCTTTAGGTTGAATGCGAAATCAACATCTTCTGGGTATTTTTATGACGCCAAACGAATGAAAAACAAACATTTATTAAATGTTTCCATCAACATAAATTCATTCATTTTGCCAACGGTGTTTGGGCCACAGTGTATATGCGTAACTGGCTACATCAAGACCCCGTTTCCTCCTATTCAGTAGGTCCGGTGATGTGAAAGCACAGTTGTGATCCGTGAAACAATTGTTTTGTGAATATTTTTTGAACATATGAAAAGAATGAATCAATACGTCAAGCTTATATGAGATGACAGTTATTTAAATGTCTACGAAAACCTATCTGTGTAGGTGTAATGCAATATTGGATATATTAAGATTATATTAGTAAGACAAAGCGATGAACAGACTAATAGACCAATATCTAGTAATGTACCATATTTTCAGGCTGAATAATCATTGTTATACTTCAATGTTGCCTCAACTGGGATCCGCTATTCCATGATTAGTCTATCATCTATCATCTATCTATCATCTCAAACACGTTCAGTCCAGACAGAACCGGTGAAGGGAGGCGCGTCGACTCCATTATGTGTTTGCAGTTGTGATCGATTCTATTCATTGCGGTTGCTAAGCGGCCGGATAATATCTGTACGTAAAATCTACAATAAGCTAACTATCGATCTGTTTGCCTATGGTAACCAAAATTGTAACAAAACCTTTTATTGCTTAAACAGACCGACGGACAAGGAGGTTGTGTTTCTTAATACGTATAGCATTATAGATATAAGCCCGTTTCTTGAAAGAATGGTCTGCTAAAATACCCAAAACAGTATAATAGTGCTAGGCTAATAACATTTTCCTCTATGAAATTACAAAGTAATGTTTATCTCCTCTTGCATATAACGGCGACTTACTAGAGTGAAGAATAAGCTCTCTTTCTGAAGATCTCAAATATCGCTGGCGAAAATTTGTTACTTGTTACTTATTGACAAAGTAGTCACTTGTAATCCCGGGGCTCATGGGTTCGCTGACTACACGGGACAAGTATTTTTATGAGCCCCAGATAATTTTTCCGGATCTGGGTGTTTGTTTACCGCCGGCGGTGGGTCGTATAAAAACTAAATGGGGTAAGGGCAGGTTAATGATGCAGGGAGGGAGCAATTAACCAGTCGGTTTAGGTCGGTTTACCTCACTCATCAGACAAATTTTCGTTAATGGAAACAATTTAATAACTAGACTACATAAAACCCTATAAATATTAAAATCAAATTACCTATAATGCGTATGGCATTCCGTCATCATCGTCATGCTTTCATATATAGGTAAGCAGTTGCTACCCGCAATTTCATCTGCGTAAACCGAAGAATAATATGTTCATTATGCAGATATATTCGTAACAACTAACACTGCGTGACATTAATTTTTGATAAGCGATTTATTGAGATTTAATCTGATAGTTTTATTTAATGATTTAATATAGTATATTATATAATATAGAAGAAAAACTTTACTCTATTTTTATCTTTTTTCTCAAATAATTTTGTGTGCCTAAGAACTCTTCCATTTGCCGGTAAAACGGACCATGGAAACGGATATTGTCCTCAATTCTATGTGCTTTAATTTTATACACTAAATTCTTATTCTTTTTGAAATAACAGCACCCTAAATCAATAGAGGTCTCGTTAAAATCGGTCCACCCATTTCCGAGATTAGCCGGAGATAACAAACAGGGAGACGGACAGAAGCATCTTTATTAAATTGATTTTTTAGTGTACGTACCGTGTAAACAATCATAAATATACAATTAGTAAAAAGATAGAAGTATGTCGACAATACTTACAATTTTATATGTTTAGATATACGATACCTTACATTTTAAATCCATCAAGCATTTAAGGCTATAGAGCATACTGATAAAGTTGTCATACTTACAGACATACACACGAGAAATGGGTCGCCAAACGTTGAGACGTACTCTTACATACAATAACGTAACACTACGTACAAAACCGTACTAGAACAATAACGAATCCGCCAGCTACCTATCTGCTTTAATTCCTTCTTTCTCCCATCCTTAATCAACCTAAACTTAACGTTAACAATGTTTTTGCCAACTATTGTTTTGTTTGTTTGTTTTTATTTATTTTTTAAAAATAACATTGCCCTCACTTTAGGATAACATTATCCTGTGTTGTAAGGAAATTTTACAAACATATACGCAGACAAACACCAAGATACGAAACAGCTAACTGTGGGTCACACAAAATATATGCCCCGTGTGAGAATCGCTCCCACGACCTCCGAATCCAATACCTTGGCAACTGAGCCACGGAGTTACGCCGTTTCCCGCTCCCTCGATCTCTTCACAACTGCCATTTAGCGTGAGGGCCGTGAACACAGGGCCAATAATGAAGCACTTGCGAGTGACCGCGAACGCGCGTCACAAGGCGGGAGCGTGGCCGGGCGGAAGCCAGGCCGCCGGCGGATTGCCACAATGAGCTCATTGGGACATCCTGTAACTAGGCGGACCGCGCCAGATACGTTGGGTTACCCCTTCGTGTAACTCGTTGGTCACTAGAACTCTAGAACAAAACAGCAACGACAGACAAGAGAAACTATTGAAAAAAGTAAAGTAACAGCCTATATTATATGTCCCACTGCTGGGCAAAGCATCCTCTGTACAGAGGGCCATAGTCCACCACGCGGCCCTTCTGTGGATTGGTGGACTTCACATATCTTCGAAATATTGTGTACCTCACACACCAGACGAAACGCAAAGTCTTCACTTCCACTTTACGCCGACCTTCTGTGAGGTCGTGGTAGCTCCTGGGACAGACCTGCCCAATCGTGCAACAGCGAACCTGAACTGGAAAAAGATTTTGAACCTCGCTCAATAGTGGTGATTGCTTCTATTGAATTGGTTTTACATTCAGGCGGCCTTCTCCGTCTTTTCCAGCGAAAATATCACTGTTCTACTTCATCTTCTACGCCGCTCTGGCGATCCTCGTGGCCATATGTATGTGGACCTTCTTGCAACTGCTAGACGCGCGGCAGCCCAAGTGGCAGTTGGAGGGTAGCATAATAGGCACCAACCCGGGACTCGGCTTCCGACCCACGCCACCGGAGGTAGCCAGCAGCGTCATCTGGTACAAGGGGAACGATCCAGGCAGCTATCAGTTCTGGGTTAGGGAGCTGTCGAACTTTTTGAAAGGTATGTACATATTAATTAAACTTTTGTTAAGTATCTATACTTATCCTTTAAACGAGCAATTCTTGTATATATATATATGTGCGTAGATTCGGGGGCGAAAAATCGATCTGGATGAAAAATATCACTCGAATACGACGGTAAATTTCACACGACTTACCAAAAAAAAACCTCCAGTCCTCCAGGTACTAAAACTATTTATACGTTCAATATAAGAAGTTTAAATGAAAAAAAAATATATGTCGTTCTTGCTTTACTTCTCTAAATCTTTATATGTATATCCATTTAATTATTTATAGTTGCAGAAGTTATAACTGCGATGGTATGACGAGTTTCAGATGATTATCGCCAAATGTCTTAAACAGAACGATCGGGAGAACAACGATGAAGAAATACAGATAAAAATAACAGAGATCAAAGAACGCGTCACAATGTAGGGATTTATAGCACGCAAATAAATAAATAAATATTTTTTCAATAATATTCACTCAATAAGCACCGTGTACATTATATTTACTGTCTTTCTCACTTTGAACACCATAAAATAGATTCACAAACTACAGGAGCTGTTTAAAAGTTGTTATAACTATAACCATCGTAATACTATGAATAAAACAAAGAGTTGAATTTCAAAAATCCCTGCAATCACAGATTAAAATGGAAAAACACTTAGTTACTAGTTATTTAGTCGTACATATTCAACTAGGAGTAGGCATCACCTGCGGTGCGGCGGCTTGAGTAACTACGAGAATCGAGGTATTGGCTGTGATTCCGTATACTTGTATTGGCGATCAAGCGTTAAGTAAGCAATATTAGCGTTAAGTTTATCATCACAATCGTTAACCTTTCTAAACTTTCCTGTGCTCAGTGTACAAACGCGACGGGAAGAAAGCGGGCGCCGGTCAGAACATCCACAACTGCGACTTCAAGCTGCCCGCGCCGGCGGGAAAAGTGTGCGACGTGGACATCAGCGCGTGGGGGCCGTGCGTCGAGGACAACAGCTTCGCGTACCACAAGTCCACGCCGTGCGTCTTCCTCAAGCTCAACAAGATATTCGGCTGGAAGCCGGTGTTCTACAACAGCTCGGACACACTCCCGCAGATGATGCCCGATGACCTGAAGGAGCACATCAGGAATATGACCGCCTACGACAAGAACTACGTAAGTTTATCCACACCGAAGACAAAAGAGAGAGATGACTAGAATCGATCACGTGTTACTCTTTGCACACAATGATATTGTATATAAATAAGAGGTACATATGGAACTAGCGCGAAGGGAGAGCACCGAAAAGGAGGCACTCAAATTACACCAATTGGTGTAATTACATTGCAACTCTATAGACTGCTGTCTTTTTCTTAATCATACGTTCTATATTATCTGGCACATTCACTTATATATGTCATACAATTTTCAATCACCGTGTAGTATGGAAATACATCATCTTTATTGAAACATCATTTTTAGCATATGAAAGTACAGAATGAGGTATTTTGTAAATCACTATAAGCTAACGTGCATCAAAATAGTTGTATGGTATAAAAACAAAAAAGGTGGCAAACATGCAATATCAAAAAAAACATTTAGAGAAAGTAGTTATCGTTGAGAAAACTTGCACATCATTTAATACCAATGATGGCAATAAAATTTTAATCCACGTTTTAAGCGTTAAAAAATGTTTATTTGTAAGCAAATAAAAATCAGCAATCACCAACTTTCAGGATAATCCGCGAGGGGTTTCGAATCTGTGTAGTTTTAAAAAAATCTCTTCTTTTTCTTTATTAATGTGTCTGTTAAAAAGCAACTACAAATTTGACCCGAAGGGGCAGAGGTACTGCAAACCAAGTTTGTAAACATGAGATAAAATACTAACTTATTTACCAATTCTACGGCGGGTGGACAGTGAATTTAAACTTGCGGTGATTCCAGCTCAACATGGTGTGGGTGTCTTGCCAAGGGGAGAACCCAGCCGACCGTGAGAACATCGGGCCCATCCAGTACCTGCCATACAGGGGATTCCCGGGCTACTATTTCCCGTACACAAACCAGGAGGGATACCTGAGCCCCTTAGTGGCTGTTCATCTGCAAAGACCAAAGAGTAAGAACCCGTCTTTGCTCAACTATATTTTTAGAGTAGTTTATCCCACGATTTAAGCGGACGATTTAGAGCGACAAGACAAATGCGAGCCTAAAATTAATATAATAACTCCATTATCCCTAATTGACAAAAGACGATTTTGTACAGGGCTAATGGTTTCATTTAAAACTCCATGTAAAATCATAACTAACGCTTCCTTTCCCGCGTTACAGTTTCTTCTTTTATCTTCAGCAACTAATTACACTTCTTTGAATTACTGTGTTAGGACACAGTTTCTGCAAATGGGCCAACCGTTCGGGGAACCACAGACTTGATTTTCAGGAGTTCCTTAATTATCTCCGGAGCCCAAGATCCAATAACAATGAAATTAATATGGGACCACATGGGAAGCACCAGCTTTCAAATAAGAGAAGAATCATCAAAATTGGTTGACTCAGTATAAAGTTAGGTAACAAACATAATAAAACTCGAATTGAGAACCTTCTCCCTTCGAAGTCGGTTAAAAAGTAGTATTTATATCATGCCTTTCGTCTGGCAAGAAGCGAGTGGTAATTAGGGCTCATCTTCAAAACAATTGGCAGTGGTAATCGAACGCTATGTTCCGCTCATTTTCCACCTTCTCCTATGAAGCTTGCGATTTGTTTCCAGCCGGCATGCTGATCAACATCGAGTGCCGCGCGTGGGCGCACAACATAGTGTACGACCGCCACGAGGGCATGGGGTCCGTCCACATCGAAATTATGATCGAATAGAAAATCGAGACGTCGTAGTCGTAGACGTCACGAAACATCGTAAACGGTGACGCGGCACCGGTGACGTCACATCATTCGCCCGAGTGCGCAAAGAGATCTGTTTAACACAAGTATAAACGTATCGTTGCAGTTGTTTATTTATATGTGCTAATTTAGTTCAATAGGATTACTTCCTGTTACAATAAAAATGTTGTAGATATTAACTGAAATATAATTTTTGTCTGCGTTTACATTTCAATGAATTTTGATTGATTTTGCAGGTAAGAAGGAAGAAATTAAAACTCTTTATTCTTGACCATTTCATATACAAATAACAAAATTATTATAATTATTGAGACGTCAAATTAGCACTTCATTTCGGCTCCAGCGATTTTCATGAAATTTAGTATGTTCGTAGATTCGGGGGCGAAAAATCGATCTAGCTAGGTTTCATTTTTAGAAAATGTCCATTTATCCCTGTTTTCAGGAAATGAAAAATATCATTCGAATATGACAGTAAACTTCGTCGCAAAAAAAATGTTATAATAGCTCGGTCGGTAATCGGGCGGCCCCAAAACACGGCCACGGTTACGATCATTTACACACTTACACTTACTTTTTTTACTTTTTTTTCTAAACCGGATCATTTTCTTTATTTTTTATTTTTTTTAGTTCCAAAATACATGATTTACCAAAAAAAACCGAGCACGGCTCGGTCCTCCAGGTACTATGCATTAAATAACGAAAAGCCAATGGTGATAACAAAGACAAATCTACAAACGTATTTTTTAAACTCAAAATTGATTAAATTCCTAAATACCGACTCTAAACTTTTTGTAGTAAGAAGATTGAATGTTTTCTGTTCCCTAAATTAACATCTGTAAATTGGAAAGGTTTACATTTAATTTGTTGTATTTGTGAGCCGTGATAGCTCAGTGTCCGGGCGCTCGCCTTTAATTCAATATACTCGAGCAGCCTGAATTCGATCCCCGGTGCCGGCCAATGAAGTTTTTAACTTTAAGTGCTGACTTATCACGTGCTCCGCGGTGAGGAAAACATCGTGAGGAAACCTGCATATTCTCGAAATAATAAAAAAAATAATATATTTCGAAGATATGTGAAGTCCGCCAATCCGCAGTGGGGCCGCGTGGTGGACTATGCACTGATACCTTCTGTGTAGAGGAGGCCTTTGCCCACCAGTGGGACATGTAGCCTATACATGTCCCACTGTTACTTTACTTTACTGTTTGTATTTTATTACAATTATATTATTAAGAAAGATAAAAAGGGGAGGCAGTAGTTACAAGAAGGAAAAAACATATAATTTATTTTAATCACATTTATTTACACCAATACACATAGTAAAGAAGCATACAAACTTCAACCATCGTGTAGGTACATATAAGAATAAATAATAAAAATTCTAAAAATAATTAATTTCAATAGTATATTTGGCTGTTTAACCTGTACATAAATGTTTCCAGTCACTCGTTGATATTGTTTTGAATAATTTTCCATTCCCATTCACTATTTACCAACAATCGTTGCTTCGTCTTCAAAAGGTATACGTCCATTTAATTAGATAAAAGCACATCGGTAAGAAGAATAATTACTAACTAAATTAACAATTTTTGTCTGTGCATGTTTTTAGCTAAAACCGCGACATTATGATATTCTATTTAAGCTAAGGCGAAAATTATCTTGACTTTAAAGTTTCGACTCAACCCGATGTTTAGACAGACGTCAAAAAACGGTCGCAGAAACTCAAAGCTTACTTGATTCTAAAACACAAAACTTGCGAAGGGCAACTAATTTTGAACCCAAATTTCCTTAAGCCGATTTAGTCAACATTTTTTAATAAGTGTGACGGGTCGTGGGTTTAATTGATGGTGGTTAGAATTTAGCCGAAAAGGTGGTCAACTATTCGGCTAAATTCGCGTGGAGTCAAATTCAGAACGTTTGGCAATCAGGAAATATCTGACAGCATGCGAGAAGCCTCTGGAATAGGGTATGCCAACTATAGCGACCATTGTAAAAACAGAAATTTCAATAACACGTTCCCTTGATATTTATTATATTGAAGAACGGCGAAACAGTTTCTGGATATAAATCCGCCAATCTCGACTCTTATTATGATCATAACGATTGCATTTCAGATTTGTGAACCGCTTCAACATAATCTTGAGATGCTAAACGAAAGGTCTAAACTCAGCGGTCAGAATTGATTAACAAAAAGTTGGTGCAAACGCCGAGGCACAATACGGCTAAGCTGCTACTGACATAAAGTGGGGTTGGGGCTTCATCCCGGGTATATAAATGCTGTTAAATGTTTAAGAGTGCGAGTATCTATAATTTTTTATATGAAAATTTGTCAGGCGAGCAGACGGTTCACCTGATGTTAAGTGAATACCGCCACCCACAGACATCTGCTACACCCGAGGGTTGCAGATGCGTTGACGACCTTTTGAAAATTGGACCCCGGCCACCTCACTCACCAGACGAAACGCGAAAGTATTTGTCATACTTCCACTTTACGCCGGTCTTCTGTGAGGTCGTGGTACTTCCCCGGACGGGCCTGCCCATTCGTGCAACAGCCGAGGCTGCTGCGTGGCCCTACCACCCGTAAAATCGAACAAGTTTGATTAAACACATATAACTATTGCAGGAATATGAACAGTTACCAAGTATATAATTGAAGCCCCACCCGGATTAGAACTGGACATTGGTCCGAGCTCAGTCGATCATGATCTCCAGGTGAGTGGATCCCAGACGCTCCTTGAGGCTCTCGGTGTACTGGATGTTGCGAGCCCACGCGCGGCAACGGATGTTGATGATCTGGTGGACTGGAAACGCGGAGAGCATCTAGATTTATCCGCGGCTTGTTCTTAAATTCATTACTATTTGACATTTAACGTAGTTCGGCGTGTTCCTTTACTGTATTCTTTAAAGTCATGGCAACCTTTTGAATTGAAATTAGTAGATATGATGAGTAGCGGGTGTGTCGTGGAGTCGTCTCCAGTCATGCCATTGGTTTCATAGAAATGTAGCTTGAAACTGGTCCACTTTCCACTATGCCAACCGTGTCAACGGTTTGTTCGCGTATTGAATCGCGTTTTTTTTTTCTATATGAACAGTAGCGATTGTTATGATGTAAAGGGTTAGCGCTACCCAGGTATTTATAACACTTGAGATTCGCAACGGCGATACCGACCCTTAAAACAGTAGGCCCCTGTTATCACACCAAAACTTCTACTTGGACAGGTCTTCTGAGAAGGCGTAGTTTAAAAAAAAATATACTCCTATAAACCTGAGTTCTGATCCCGGTGACGGCACAAATGAAGTTGACAATTTTAAGTGTCGATTTATCACGTGCTCAGCGGTGAAGGAAAACATCAAACCTGCCTACTTTCGAAATAATAACAAAAACAAAGATACATGAAGATCGCCAATCCGTAGCAGGGTCACGTGGCGGACTAAGGCCCAATATCCTCTGTACAGAGGTCCGCCGTCCCCGCAGTGGTCACGATAGGCTGTTCCTTTAGTCTTTAGTCTTTGACTTCTTATCATATTGTAAATCCGCGGCGTTTGGAAAAAGTTACGGATACCGTGGCCTGTTGAGTTTCGGTCTCTTCTCAATAAAAACTGCTTTCCGAACCTACACATATATATATATATATATATATATATATATATATAAATATATAATTTCTTATGTTAAATTTGACGATTCATAAGAACGCGCAAGCGTCTATTTCAATAAAGATATTTGATTGATTGATTGATTGATTGATTGTGTGGGTGACTAACGCGTCGGCTCGAGGAGCTGGACGGCGACCAGCGGGCTGAGGTAGCCCGGGGTGTTGTCGTACGGGAAGTAGGTCTCGGGCAGGCCCGGGTAGGGCCAGTACTTCAGGGGCCCAGCGCCTCCGCGTCCGCCGGCCGCTCGCCCTTGCACGACACCCACACCTTGCGGCGCTGAAACGCCGGCCATCGTCATCTTCACCATCATCCTTCTGCCCTTATCCCGCCTGGGTGGGGCACGACTTGTGAATAGTTACGACCAGCCTCCTGCCTGACGTCGACCCACCTCGGGAAACAAACACCCAGACCCGGAAGAACTATCTGTGGGTCACACGAATAGTCGTCCCGCGTGGGAGTCGAACCCACGACCACCGACGCTGAAGCCAATAGCTTGAGCCGACATTTCTCTATTCAGTGTAGGATTATTTTAAGCCCTCATTGAACGTCGAAAAACTACCGGTTGAGTTAACTTGACCTGTCCAGAGAGACCCGGGATGAAACTTTACGGTCTTGTTATCTTTTTGATTTTCAAATTCCAATCTGTGCTATTAGGATTGGACTAGTTTAGTAGCTTTAGCCTGTGTTCGGGAGTGGAATAGGACAGGCTGAAATGATAATGATGATAATTAACCGTACCTGGTACCACGAGCCTTATAGCAGACAACCTTGGAGTCATAAAAGCTGTTTTCAAAACAATATGTACATACATTATTTGTACCGTCCTTAAGTTGCATCTAGTTAAACTTTCACTTCATAAAACATGACAAGATATGTACCGACTTTTGTAAATTACACTGGGCCAAGCGGTAAGAATTCATCTGATTAAACTGAATACATTTCAATTTCACTCACTTCCTGTGGCGTGGTCGTTGAATTGATGTATTGCTTTATATCGGGCGGCATCTCAGGCGGCAGCTCGCCCGGGTCATCGTAGAAATTGGGGCTCCAGTCATATATCTGAAATTGTGACGATCGTCTTAGATCGAATATAAAAAAATTCTAATTTGTACAATAAACACATATAGTGACACGTACAGAGTCATATCAATGATATTATATACAAATACGTGGTAGATATGGCAGTAGCGCATCGAAATTGAGGCACTCCAGTTACTTAGGGGCATAAAAAATAGTTATAAACCTATTCTTGTACCTACTGAGTATACATATAAAATTTCATCAAAATCTGTCAAGCCGTTTCGGAGGAGTATAGACACTAAAACTGTGACACAATAATTTTATATATAGCAACCCGCCCCGGCTTCGCACGGGTGCAATGTATTATACGTATAAACCTTCCACATCAAGATCCGTTGTGTAGTTTTAAAGACTTAAGCATACATAGGGACAGACAAACAGCGGGACGATTTTGTTTTATACTAAGTAGTGATAACGTAAAGAGGAATGATTTTTAAACGCCGCGGAGTATCCGTGGACTTGCGTCATCTATATTATTAAACTAGCTGCTGCCCGCGACTACGTCTGCGTGAAGGCGTAACATTCAGACAGAAAGACAGATATAAATAAAAATATGTATATAAATTATAGTCTATGTCTTATTCTGATGTATATTATTGTAAAGTTTAATAAGAGAGAAATCCATTCAGTAGTATTTGCGTGAAAGAGTAACAAACATCCATCCATACATACAAACTTTCGCGTTTATAATATTAGTAAGATTAGAACTGATTGCTAACTAAATTACACTATGTTTACGGATTCTCGCATTTGTTTTTGTCGTCTGTCTTTCGAACTGTTTGCAACGTTCATGGCCAGGGGGCGGACTCATTCCGTTCTGGGCGAGTGTACCTTGTTGAGTTTGATGATGAGGCAGGGCGTCCTGTCGGGGTAGCCGTAGCCGTTGGCGCTGGTGCAGGGGCCGAGGAGGCTGGTGTTGAAGGCGCAGACCTCCGCTCTGGGCGGCTTCACCGCACCGCAGTCTCGCTGGTTCTCGCCGCGGGTCACCAGCAGCGTTTTGTTCTCGTAGGCTGCCGAAAGAGCGAGGGGGATGTCATTGAATGATTATCATTTAATCTTTATTGATTTATTTAATGGAGCTCCGATAGCTCATTGCCCGGACGCTCGCCTTTAATTCAATATACTCGAGCAACCTAAGTTCGATCCCTTATCACGTGCTCAGCGGTGAAGGAAAACGCTGAGGAAAACTGCATATTTTCGAAATAATAACACAAAAATGTTTTGAAGATATATTATGACGTCGACCAATCCGCAGTGGAGTCGCATAGCGGACTATGTCCTAATACCGCCTAGTACAGACGAGGCCTTTGCCCAGCAGTGGAACATATATAGGCTGTCATTTTAGTTTACTAATATAATTTATAAAGATCGTAGGTCTTTATCCATGTGATTATGGTATCCACGTTTCATTTTAATCCGGATATTTGACAATATTTTTCAATTTTGTTGTATTACTACTTATTAGGGACCTTGTCACTATACACTTTAAGATTAATAGATATCATTATAATGATTCCAGGTCGATTTCCATTTCCATACATCAGGTGCTACAGAATCGGGTAACACTTCACTTCCGAATATAAAATACGCCTTCGTGTAGCAATATCATTGTTTTACAAGAGTACGATGGGTGCAGGTGGCTCAGGATCGTACTTCGTGGCGTCTGTGAGGTCTTTGTTCAGCAGTGGACCCATACAGGCTCAAAAGATGACGATGAGAACAAAACGATACTTAAGATTTTAGTGGCCTTCAATAATGAGTCGAATAACGAGAGAACCTCAAATGGATAAATGCAAATAAATCGCTTGCACTCAATAATGAAAGCTCGATCAATTTTCCGGTTATATTATTTTTATTTTACATATCCCAAGATCCATCTGTACTCACGCGCTAGGAACTCGTCGATGTTGGCCACGTACTTGCGGTACTGCGTGGCGTTGCTCGCGTCGTACCAAATCAAAGCGCCCTCCTCGTAAACCAGCGGTCTGTGCGCCATACCAGGGTTGTCCCCTGGAGAGTTACGAATCGAAAGTAATCAGTTTGTTCGGGAATTCCTTTAACACTATCCCGCTCTTGAAACTTATCCTGTTCAGCAGAGGCATCTCAAAATGCACACGTTCTATTTTTTGTGTCCGCCCATTGACATTTGCAACACCCGTACGGTTGCTGATGCGTAGTCTGCGTAGACCTTTCAATAAAGTGGGCTCCGGCTAATATCAATCACGAGACGAAATGCAGAAGTATACCACTTACACTTCAGGCCGGTCTTCGGTGTGGTCGTGGTACTTCCGCGGACGTACCTGCCCATTCGCGCAATAGCGAAGACTGTTACGTGGCCCTACCACTATTTATTCCAGAAAGACCAACATCCTAATCCGAAAACAACTAACTACAGTCCTGATAAATACTTCGAATACTTCTGATAAATACTTCGGAACCGGAATTATGCTCCGCGATGTTAAAGCCTTCGATTAAGAAACCGAATTACCACAACCAAAATAATACGACATTGACTGAAATTTTTATATACTTTTCTTGATATCTTTCCTGTAGATTTTGAACGTTTTCCTGTATGTGGTAATAAGTGAGAAGAAACAGACAGTTTTAATGTAGAGAAATATTATTACACAACAACAAACAAACTGTATAACGATATTCCTATTCTTCGTTTGTTTCGATTTAACTTTCTTTCAAAAAAATGCTCCTGCTGTTAGAATATCATTAACCTGTATTGAAAGACACCGAAAATATCATTTGTGAAAAAAAAATACTCGTAAGGTCTGGAATCATCACCATCATCATTATCCTCCTGCCCTTATTTTTTTTATGTGAAAAGTTGCCAAGCGAACAGACGGTTCACCTAATGTTAAGTGAATACCGCCGCCCATCGACATCTGCTACACCAGGTTGCAGATGCGTTGTCAACCTTTTGAAAATTGAGCTCCGGCCACCTCGCTCACCAGACGAAACGCGAAAGTATTATACTTCCACTTTACGCCGGTCTTCTGTGAGGTCCTTATATACCAATATGTTGTAAGCGGCGGGTCTGTAATCTCTTCAAAACAAAATAGTTCATATTGTAATGAGAGGAATTATTTACTTACCAATAATTGAGTCAGCGAGAGTGAAGTACGGGATGCGATCGTCCATGGTCGCCAGGAGTCCACACATGCAGATGGAGAAGAAGATAATGATGCAGATGTACATCACCAGGTATATGAGTCCGATCACACCTAGAATATAACGTCTATACTAATCACAGACAAAGAATACGAGATCCTCTTCAATAATAGTATTAATAATAACGTTTATTTCCTTCTTATATAGGTTTTAATGTGTACTAATAAGAGATTCGGCAACTTTTTATCTTTGCGAAAATAATTCAAACTGATGTAAAACAACTGTTTTGAGTTACATTTAACGTTGCCATTGCGTTAACGCCATGCACACAAGACTCATACCATTCTCATACGAGACTTGCTTAAGACGCATGTCTTATTTTGCGCAGGTCACTCAAGGATCCATGAACAGAGCAATATTGGTCTTGGGTGGGACCTAGGCAACCTCTACTTTCTAAGCGACTTAAACGCCGCTTCAAGTCACCATCATGTTGAAGATCATTTCAAACCGTTTGGTGATAAAACATGATTGAAAACGCCGCGCATCACCAATGTGATGAATCACGACACACAAATATCAATGAAAATCTTCCATCTCAAAATCGATAAATAGAGACTATGTTATATCCTACTAACACTTTAATGATGAAGCAGAAAGTTGATGATTTTAAAGTTTTGTTTCAGTGGTCATAAATAAGTTTTGATATTGAAGGTGATATAAAACTCAGTGGCAAAGCCATAGGTATCCGCGACGGGAGTCGCGGGTTCGGTTCCCAACCACAAAACGTGACGACGTGACGTGAGGATGTGTCATGACGACGTGACGTTACGACGTGACGTCACGACGTGACGTCACGACGATATGTGATCCATGGATAATCATTCTGCCGGTCGTGAAAATCTAACCAGACCGACTACCAACACGATTCACATGTTGTCCCGACTCCATCTATATATAATTTTTAGATACCCAGATATATAGCAAAGTGACAATTGCTACATTATCTATTACAATTAACGCCATAGTGCAATAATCACCGATTGAATTAACGCGTAAGCCTTCAGACAGACCCCGACATTGCCCCGTTAACGCTGAATGATCGATGCGCTAAGTGGAAAGAGTGGATCCGATTTTGTTGACCATTTTAAAGTTTGCTTCCTCCATTAGCAACTCAGATGGTCGTGACGTGTTTTCATTTAATAAAGGAATTGCATATCATATGCACGATCCAACAGCTTTAGATTTCAAATCATCGCCACATCATCCACAAAATCGATTTAAAAGAATGGTTACACTAATACTTAAATCGTAATATGCTAATTAGGCAAGGAGCCGACTGACTCTTTTTATTTATTCCACTTAATATTATTTTGCGGACATTGATGTTAGTTAAAACTATTATATGTCCCAAGAAATTAAAAAAAATCAAATATTATTCGTTTTGGAGACAATAACAATTGTTATATTATCGTTTAGTTCGTTCTCTCGTACTTATTGCCTGTCAAAACACTACCACCCGGTTCGGAAAAGAAAAGCCACTGACCTGAGAGGAACCGACGAAAGAAAGTTTATGTTTATGTTTAAATGCTTTAGCGTTCATAGATTAAACACTAAAGAATTAAAAAACATTTATCACAAACGGATTTCATTTAAGATTCCTGAACTTCTAACTTACTTGATTACCTTCGTAATAAATATTACAGTTTTGATCTAATAACATTGCCTATGTTAACATGAATTCAAACAAGGTTTACGTTAAATAAGTTGACGTCCTTATGACATCGTTGAAAAATTAAACACTAATCTATATCACTACACAATATACAATATCTAAATTAAATTTAATACAGAAAACAACACTTGTACTATTACTATCTTAAAGAAACGAACACCCCGCTGAATCTGTTTACTTCGTGTAATAATAGGTGAAAGATTACATATTTTTAGGGTTCCGTACCCAAGAGGCAAAACAGGACCCTATTACTAAGACTCCGCTGTCTGTCTGTCTCTACGGCTGTACCTCATAAACCGTGATAGTTACACAGTTTAAATTTTCACATATGATTTTGTGAAAATTTAGTTCATCAGTATTTCTGTTGCCGGCTTAACAACAAATACTAAAAACCGGAATAAAAATTTTTTTAAGTGGAACTGCCATACAAGAGACATGATTTTTGCCGTTTTTATAGATAATGCTAGGGAACCCCATGCGCGAGTCCGAATCCCACTTGGCCGGTTTTACTTATCTTATAGCCAATTATAGCACTGGCTAGTTTTATTTAAAAAAATATAATGTACTATAACAGTCGTAGTGCTTAACTAACTCTCATAATGACATTTCCTGACCTTATCCCAACCTAAGTAAGGTCGGCACAACAGATTAATCTAAAAGAAAGCCAGAGCCACACAACACGTAAGTGGTTTTGGTCATGTTTTTTACGGCCTGCCTGACGTCAACCCCTCTTGGAAACACGCCCAGATCCGGAACAATTATCTGTGGCGAGCACAAACAATTTTCCCGTATGGCAATCTAACGCAAGACCTTCGGCGTCAAAGCCTATTGCTGAACAACTGCGCCGAGTCATGCTACTAATTAAAGAGTAATTTTGAAAAAACCGTAAAAATAAAAAAGTTTAATATTTTGTATTATTAATTTTTCAATAATTACAGAGGTTAAACATCTCAGTATGCCTCGTGACAACAGTGCTTTGTAATTTTAAAAAGGATGGGGAATTTAAAATTATTGAATACGATCAAGTCCGTAAAGTGTATTATAGTAGCGGACCCGACAGACGTTGTCGTGTACACACGCCTTAAATGGGAAAATTTCAAACTTTACCGAATAAATTTGCGAATCTAAAACATTCTCCTCCTACCTACCTATTCCCTAATACTCGAACACACAAAAAAGGTGACCGGTTAATGAAATAAATTTTTATTAACACCGGTCCAGCCGTTTAGGAGGAGGATATCATAAATATTTTGTGCGTGTGTAACATAAACACGCACAAAATATTTATATACATAAAGATTTACGTGAACACTATATTATTGTATTTTTAATACGTACCCAGACCACCGATGTTGTAGTGTTCTAAACGTTTTATGTCTTCAATAGACACGCGAACGCATCGATCGCATAGAACATTATCGATTGTAGAGAAATTGCGAGAATTCATTTCCGCGAAGGGTAATTGGATGTGCGGGCGCTGAAGGTTGGCGTTAAAGAGGGCGCAGTGGATTTCATTACGGCCCTCCATTAGGCCTCGCCCTGGGCGCGGCGAGGGAGGTCGCCCCCGCCTTGGACAAACAAACAACTTGTGCACTTGATCTTTATCTATATGTGTACATGTGCGTAGCCAGCTGTTGCCGAGAAGCCGCGGTTGGTGTTGACCTGTTCAAATCCCAGTCAAATGATCTGCTACGTGTTGCAGAGGAATAACGAATTACTTTCGGGACTGCAATCGAAAAAGCCGAAGTCTAGCGGGGTGTCAGTAGAATTTCATTTATAAAATTACCGTTAATGTAGGGTATGTGTAATGTAGGATATTTCTGTATTGTAGGTTTTATCGTATTGAGAAAACGTACTTCTGGCTAGTGGATCCAAATCGAATCTAAATCCAAATCTTAATGTGACAAATATTTGGCACGAACGGGAATCGAACCCGCAAAACCACGGTGCCGATAAATAACTTAGCAACTACACCTAACGCTAATAAGATCCTAACAACAATAATTGCTATTAAACAATTTGCCCGATTACAACTCAGGAAGCCATAGTAGAGTCATCAAACATTTAAGAATAAGCTCACGGAGGCGTAGGCATCACTTGTCTATATTCCAACAGATACAATTAAACTGACGAGACAAGTGATGAGCTGGTCACAAGTGATGCGCGGGTCAATGTTACATTTAAATTACACAACGTGTTCCTTCCACAGATAATCAATCGCAGAACAGGCGATAGATCCGGCCCTGCGTATGACCTTAGACGATTCTACGTACGTCCAGCGAAAGACGTTACTGCTCCCATTTTTATAACTCGCATAAAACCGGGTTACCGAGGCGATTCTCTATTTCAGCGGGTTTACGGTTTGACGTAGACGAAGTTCGCAATGGACGCCGGGCGATTACGTTGGTTTTATGGGAATTGGCGGCAATGGATTGGTGGGTGGGACGCGAGATTGGCTCACGAGAGCGGGGTTCGGGTTCGAAGTTCAATATGTAAAGTGCACCCGGTGTTGGTCCGTACGTAATAGGTCCTAATACTGTAACTGAAAAGTTAAAAACTTTATAGCTTGATGTTAAATATTTTATATGACTGGAAAATATTGCATCTATATTCCGGCTGACGAAAATCCCAATCTTATTATCATAGAATATCAAAACAGCGTATTTAATTGTCAAAAACGAGATTAACTTTCTGTGATGATCAAAACGCGCTGAAAAACCATCATAATACATTCAATCAAAATTTAAATAAATAGTGATGAAGGAAGAAGTCTGATTTTTACCACTAGTTTTTACTTGGTTACACAATTATAAACGTAAAACAATAATAAAGATCAAATATTCTAAAACAATGATACACATCAAATATTCAATTATGCAACAAAATACCTGCTTAATTCGACATATAACAATATCATATAATAAACATTACAGGATTACTTAAAAAACTAACCTACCAAAGGAAGAAGGTGTGTTCGTTAAATTATACGTACGTATCAAATGCGACATAGGACGGCGCGTGTTAGAGAACAATAAACGTAGCAATAAGTGACAAGTCGCAAACACGTCTGTCACTTATCGCCGAGGAACGAAGGCAATTCAATCGACAAACGTTTGCAGGGCGATCAAATAGGTACTCGACCATTCCTCATATTTGTCCAGTCCTCCACAGCTGTAATTGTGTGACGACACTTTGGAGTTTTAATTGGGTCTGGCTTGATAATAATCTTGCTTCATTGGGCTTTAAGCGCTTTAAGAGACAATTTTTTGCTACATACTTCAGAATATACTTGAAACTAATATTTGTATTGTTATTAAAATAGGTTCTCATTCATACAATTTGGCCAAAAATTACTATTTGAAATACGTTAGGTGCTTGTTA